GTAATGAACTCTTGATACATGTAATGTATTTTGTGGAGTAAAAGAAGCCTATCTCAAAGGGTTACATACTGTATGCCAAGGCCTGAATATTTATGTCCTCCCCAAAATGTATACAGTAAAACTCTAACCCTCAAGATGATGGCATTAAAAGGTAAGGCCTGGCCGGTACTGTGGCTACTAGGCTAATCCTTCGCCTGCAGCGCAGACACCCTGGGTTCTAGTTCCGGTTGGGGTGCCGGATTCTGTCCCGGTTGCTGCTCTTCCAGGCCAGCTCTCTGCTGTGGCCTGGGAAGGCAGTGGAGGATGGCCCAAGTCCTTGGGCCCTGCACCTGCATGGGAGAACAGGAGGAAGCACCTGGCTCCTGGCTTCGGATTGGCGTGCAGTGCGCCGGCCGTAGCAGCCATTTGGGGGGTGAACCAATGGAAAAAGGAAGACCTTTCTCTCTCTCTCTCTCTCTCTCTCTCTCTCACTGTCTAACTCTGCTTGTCAAAAAAAAAAAAAAAAAAGGTATGGCATTTGGAGGAGGTGATTAGATCACAGGGAAGAGCCTTCCTAAAAGAGATTTGTGCCCACATAGAGCCCTTGCCTTTCTGCCATGTGAGCTTAAAGTGATAATATGGCTGTCTATGACAGAGCAGACCCTCCCCAGACATAGAAGCTGCTAGCACCTTTGTCTTGGATATCCAAGACTCCAGAACGATGGGAGATAAATCTCTGTTGTTTATAAGCCACCACACCCTGTGGTGTTTTGTTGTAGCAGCAACAATGGACTAAGATTCTGTATGATTCCATTATTAGAACATTCTGGGCAAGGGAAATCTATAGGGATATAAAATAGACCAAGAATCACTAGGGATTAGTGATAGGGAGAAAGATTTGACCATAAATGGGTAACACAATAAAAAAATTAGTGCAATAAAACTGTTTTGTGGTCATTTCCAAAATCTATACATGTATTAAAACTCACAGAATTGATCATCAAAAAAGTCAATTTTATCCTATGTAAATTTTTAAATAATAAATGAATAAAAGCTTTTAAAAAGTCTATACTAACAGGAAACAATTTATTGGGTTGGCAGATGGCAAGCCTGTTGGTTAAACAGCCTGCTATATAATTTATTTATTCATAAGTCTGTCAGGAATTGGTAAGAGGTTTATATAATTGAATAAAAGTCACACCTACCTTGCAATAAATATTTTCTTAAACAACTTTGGCAGCTTTCTGTAGAAATATTCATACTAAATGCTCTTCAAACTGAGCTTATAAGTCAAGGAGTTGGCTCTCTAACTGCTTATAACTAATACATTTTTATTCCTCCATAAAATCTTTGTTATCATACCTTGCCTAATTTACATGCAAGGAAAAATTCTCTTTGTTGACAAAGCAATTGACTTGAAATCAATCCAAACAAATCAAGTAATATTTGGCCCATCTACCTGAAAGATGCATTAATCGCTGAAATACATATAACAATTAGGGGAAGGAGGAATGGCCCAGACATAGGAAACATCTGTCCTCACTTCGACCTCAGACTCTACTCCTTATTAGCTCTTCCTCAAAGGAGAAAAAGCTACCTATCTGGTTGTTCAGAGTGTGGATTTCTTTGGGTGAAACTGTGGCACTGAAATAACTTCTGAATTTATGAGCACATTTTTTCTCTTCCTAGAATTAGACCAAGAAAGACCTTGTCATGTGTACTTTTTCACATCCATTACCAATGACCACTGGTCCTTCTTCTTTCTTCCACTTTAACTTTGTATATAGATTGTTGAGAATGCCTTGTTAGTCCCCCCACAAAATCAACAGCATCATATGGGAAGTCAAGGCATCTCCTTTCAGAACATTTTTTCCCTCCTACTTGGAAGTTTTTGCTATAGCCACAAACTAAATAACCTATGGAGAATTTAATATTATAAATGGGAGCAAAAAACTGGTACATATTTGTTGTGTCATCCTCTCTCCTATGGCCCTGGAAGTGTGCTCTAGATCTTCTCTTGTTTCTACAATTTTGTCAACTTCAGTCTAAGAGGATGAGGTAAGGATGAATACAGAGATTTAGAAAAAGGAAGCAAGGGGGCTCATTCTTGCTTTTAGCCTGTCATATATCCGAGTTCGTTCTTTTTAAAAATATATTTATTTTATTTTATTTATTTTGAAAGCCAGAGTTAGAGGGAGAAAGAAACAGAGATAGAGATCTTCCATCTGCTGGTTCACTCCCCAGGTGGATCAGAAATATAGCAGCAGGGACCAAAATTTGCACCCATATGTGAGGCTGGTGTTGCAGACAATGGCTTTACCTGCTAAGCCACAATGATGGCCTTTGTCTTAGTTTACTTAACCTCTACTTAGCAGTATATAGTACTTACAGAGAAATAATATTTATAATTTATTCCTCCATTAGCTGCTATTCATTTAGTATAGCTCCCTTAGAAGGAAAAAGAAATGAGTGAGTGACTTTAGTAACTACATCACTAAAAATTTAGTAGGGGGTTGATCTGTGGCAGGAGGTTAAGCCACCGCTTACGATTCTGACATCCCATATCAGAGGAGTGCTTGTTCAATTTCTGGTTGCTCTGCTTCCAACCCAGCTCTCTGCTAATGTACCAGGGAAATCAGAAAATTATGCCCCAAGTATTTGGATCTCTGCCACCCATGCAAGAGACCTAGATGGCATTTTGGACTCCTGGCTTCAGCCTGGTCCAGCCCTGGCCACTGTGACCATTGGGAAATAAACCAGTGGAGGTAAGATCTCTTTCTCTCTCTCTCCCCCTCCCTCCCTTCTTCCTTCCCTCTCTCTCTCATTGTCTTTCAAATAAATAAAATAAATTTAAATAAAAAAGTAGTCATGGTTCCTTACCCAGAAAGGATTTAAAAGTTGGCATGCATAACTTTTTAAATCAAAATGGTATAATATAGTTTGAAATACACAGTACCTACTGACCCAATTTTATTATGTCTTACTCATTGTTAATTTGTCTTGGTTTATCTAGCACCCTTTTATTAAGTTTGGAGTGATCTTAGCCCATGCCCCATTCCTGGGTGTTCAACTGGTTTAGAAGAAATCAATGGGAGAGTATGGCCCTTGATTATAACAAAATATCTGAATTCCCAGATTATAGGGATTAACAAAAGCAATATGCTAGAAATGTGGTTATAATGCTGACAATCTGGCAGGGCTCAAAGGCAGCTCAAAGTCAGAAAACAGCATCAGTAGATGAGAAGGTAAGTTGACATAATACTTTTACCATCTATTCTGGTTGCCCCAGAATGCTTATGTTTTTTCAAGAGAACCTCAAAATTGAAGAAATATACGAAGTACTTTCCCCACTGTTTTCTGTACTTATCCTACCAGTGTCAAATCAGGCTGTCTCTGACAGTTATGAATTATTTCTATCTTCTCCACAGAGAAAACCATTAAAACAAAACTTGAAAGTAAAATGGAACAGCAAAGCCCTAGCCAAGTGTGAACCACCAAACCAATTCAGTCCACCCCAGCAATTCTCCAAGGTTCATCACACTATCCTTCACTCACCATCACACTTTTATAACATGCCCAGTTAGTGTCACCCAACAATCCTAACTCTGGACAATGCCACCCCACCCCCACCATAGGAGCAGAAGGATGACTCTGCCTCTAGCTCCATCCGACCTTGGACCAAAAAGCAGCTACTCCTGCAGCTGGTGAGATTTCGTCAGGAAAAATGGTAGTGAGGCATGGGAGAGACTGATTCTGAGGTAGGAAAAATCTGAGGCTGGCAAGACTTTCTGGAATCAGCCTGTTTGGGGAGTTGGTGGTGTAAAATGGAGATTTTATTCCTTACCTCAGGTAATGTGAAGGTCAAAGGAGCTAACTTGAAAGTGCTAAAAGGTTTATAAATATAACAAAGCTATTGTTTTCCAATTTCACTGGGCACTCTTCTAAGAGGCAATGCCTTGGATAAGCATCAAAGAAGACAGAAACTCACCCCTGCCTTCCCAGCAAGCCTTGGAAGCTGGGGACTGACATTGTCTTCTCAAGTTTTGCTAAGAGAATTTTTTGAAGCAGAGTTCCATTTTCCTTTTTAAAAATGCATTATACCCTTATTCCCCAGCTGCCTGAGGCCGCATATTACAGCAAATGGAAACCAACCTTTCAAGTTAAAGACCCACAAAGAATCTAGAGAGCTTTCTACCCTTCTGCTCTCTGTTTTCCACAGCAGTCTTTAGTGAAAGAGGGAGAGACACGAAGGGAACAGAGAGAGAGCTTCCTTGTTCTATCCCTGGATACCTCTCTGCTTCCTTGACTCAGCTGCCCTCACAGGCACACGCTCCAGCGGGGCGTACCAGATGCACACGCGCACACACACATTCGGACAAGCCAGCCAAGCGAAGACGAATTGACTCTTCGCCAACTTGTAGCCACGGATAGCAGCAACGGGAACAAAGTCCTTCACCACCTGCTCCAAAAAGACACTGCAATCGCCAGTGGCGCCGCAGTAACTGCCTGTGTGCTGCAGGAGTTTTAAGTCTGATTCCTGAATGCGAATCGCTCATTCTGCCCTCCTTCCCACTCCCCTTGACTTTGCCCACTTTGCCTTCTTCTCCTCAGAATGCCGGGAGGACCCGGGTCACTCGACTCCCTCTGCAGCAGCAGTGAAGGAGGAGTCCACTGAAGTCTCCCGAAGCCCACCACCCTCTGCCCCACCTCTCCACACTCCCGCCAGTGTAGGTACCGGTGCTGCTGGAGGAGATCCCAGTGCTCAGGGTGCCTGCATTCCGATCGGGTGCAGAGCAGCAGACTGAAAGTGGAGCGACGGGACGGTGGCGAGCGGGGCTGGAAGTGGTCAGAGGACAGATGGGTCGGGTCTGGGGAGAGGGGTGAGGGCGACGCCCCCTGGCGTGCGGGCAGCAACTCCCAAAAGCGCATATGGGTCAGGGGCTACGGGCCTTTCTCTTTACCCTTTTTTTCCCTCTGCCCCGCTCCCCGCCCGGACACCTGGTTGAAAAAACAAGGTGTACCTGGTGCGAACACCATAATTTCCTCCAGCCGCTACGCCCCTACGTTAAGAGAGGAAGACGCCCAAACGGAGACCAGAGGAAGGCCAGGAGCTGGCTGGGTCCGGAGCTGGCAGACCTGCAAGGCGCGGGCGGGCCTCTCAGCACCTTGGACAGCGCCCGCCGCGCGGTCCCGGGCGCGCAGCTCCAGCGGCAGCGGCGCGCCCTCCTCCACAATGCACTGCTGTGCCCGCCGCCACCGCCGCGGCGGGACGAGACCAAATCCCGGCTCAGGTCATCCCTCATTCCAGCGCCAGCCCAGCGCACACCGCTGCTTGGGGAGCAAAGCGCTTCTGCTGCTTGCACGGGAGGAGGAACAACAGAAGAGGGAGAGGGAGAGAGGTAATTGCCCGGCTTCCCGGCAGGGGGACAGCTAATTGCTTCTACTTACCTGCTGTCGCTCGCCCGCGTGGACGTTGGACTGACATTTAAGATGAGTTTGTCCTTTTTCTCTCTTTCTCTCGAGGAGCTTTACTCTGGAGACAGACTGAGTTTTCGAGTTGGGCAGGGTCTGAACAGAGGGGTGGGGCCGCCAAGTTGGTGTGTTCTAGGGGTCCCTGACTGTTCTCACCTGCGTCCCAGCCTCTGCTAACTCAGGAAGAGAGCAGGAGGGAAGGACAGGATGACAATGGAGCGTGCGTGGAGGGCGCCGCTGTCAGGCTGCCTCCCAGGCTGCAAATCCAGTTCCTAAGCGTGAAGCAGCTCCGCGTCGTCATTTAAAGAAAGCAGGGCTGGCCCAGAGCAGGGGAACTTAGGGCAGGCAGGTCTTCTCCACCAACAAGGAGCCTCTGCTAGGAGCCCAGAACAACTCAAGACCAATCAAGAAGTCTCTGTGCTTCCGGTCTCCACCCAACTAAAAACTGCCCCTACACACACACACACACACACACACACACACACACACTTACTTCTACCTTAAAGATATTGGGATATGCTCTCAATCACTTCATGCTCTGGATCTATTGCTCATTCAGTATCTATTCCCCCAAGTAATGCTTGTACGGTGTGCACAGTCCACACTGGATGTCAGCAACTTGCCACAGGTCCATGTGGATTACAATCCCAGAGCTAAAGCCACATAGGATCACCTAGCCTGAGATGTCAGTTGTTTGGGATGTTATCTCCTATTTTTGCAACTGCATAGGTTTTCCAGGAACAGATGATAAGGGTCATCTCCGGTGTTTTATGGGGTTTCCTTGCTTGTACCTCTCCTTGGATAAGACAGCCATTATCACAATATTATATTTTTTAATAATTTGGTTGGTGGTTGTAAGTTCTATACTCTTGGCAAATAGTAAGCAAGCATTCAAATAGCTTTGTTGGCACTGGTTTTCTTCAAAGCCATCTGATAGATTGAAAATGCAAATACTTGGACAGCTCTTGAACTACATGGAAGCATGTGGGCAACCTCAACATAGCACAATCAGCACAGTTCTTAGCACCTGGCATGATCCAGAATCCACCAGATGGGGCCTGCCTCAAGAACAATGAGGTATAAGTTGGCTGAGGATCACAATGAAGAGTGAGCAGGACAGAATGGAGTTCTCTGACCTTTCAAGGTTACCCCAAAAGCAAGGATCAAGGATGCTTCACTTCGCTGTTTTTGTTTCCTCACCAGGGGATTGAAATTATCTTTGAGTAAAAGACTTCTTTCTGCTAACACCCTACAAAAGTGCTTTTTCACGACCCCTATTTGTTAATGGGTGTTATCCTATTACATAAACAATTAAGTTCAAGAAAAAGGCAATGTGATTTAAGAATAACAAAAGCCTTGGAAATGATTCAGACACAGACCCAGGTATATCTTCACCATTTACTGGATGTATGACCATGGATAAGTTACTGAACTTGTCCAGTCTCATCTGCAGTACAAGGGTTGAGGTATCTTGAAGTGTTATGACTGTTAGCTGCTATATGAATTAATGAAGTAATTAAAAGAGAGTACAGCCTCAATTAAACCCATTCTAGGCAATCAGTATTATACCCTGGTAGGTGACACCCTATGAGATGGCAAGCAAAATATGTGAGATCAGTGCTTCTCAAACATTATTTTGTATATGAATCCCACAGGGATATTGTTCAAGTGCAGATTATGATTCCATAGATTAGGTTAGGTATTGTGAGTCAGCATTTCTAACAAGCTCCCAGGGAATGCAACAGGGGCTGTTGGTCCATGGACTGTATATTTTGAATAACAAATATTTGCTGTATACTTTGAATAATGAATCACTAGTGGTACTGGAATTTAGAGTTCTCTTTTTTTTATTTGAGAGACATAGATAGAGAAAGCTCCTATCCATGGGTTCACTTCCCAAATGCCCACGACAGCTTGAGATGAGCCTTGCTAAAGCCTCTAGGTCTCCCACAAGGCGGGCAGGAATCCAATTACTTGAGTTACCATTGCTGCCTCCCAGGGTCCACATTAGCTGGAATAAAAAGTCAGAGCAGGAAATTAAACTCAGACACTCTGATATGATGCTCAATACCAGACTCTGGTGTCCTAACTTGCATCTTAAGCACCAGGCCAAATGCCTGCCCTGCCATTTTAGAAGAAAAAAAATTATTATGTCTCTCCCAATCTGAAAAGTTACTATGTCAATGTTAAATAAGTAGTAACCCAAATAGATGCTCATAAATTGCCAAGCTAGAGAGTTGCCAAAATGGTAGTAGAAAGAAAAAAAAAAAAAAACTTGAAAATGGTCCCAGAGCTCCTCAGGCTATTTGATTAGCTTCTAGTGGCAAAGATGGTAATATGATTCAATAAAAACCTGTGCAACAGGCCAACAACAAAAAGAAAAATTCTCTCAGTGCTGGCACTACGGTGAGCAGGTTACATTGCCACTTGTGAGTCTGTTGTCCCAAATTAGACAGTCAGTTTAAGTCCTAGCTACTCCACTTCCTATCCAGTTTCCTGTTATATGCACCTGGGAAGGTAGCAGACTAGTTCCTGCCACTTATGTCAGAGACCCAGATGGAGTTCTTGGTTCCTGGATTTTGCCTGGCCCAGACCTAGCTGTTGCAGCCATTTAGGAGAGTGAATCAGTGGGTGGAAGGTTTCTCTCTCACACTCACTCACTGTGTGTATGTGTGTGTGTGTGTGTGTGTATTGCTCTGTCTTTCAAATACATGAGTAAATCTTTTCTAAAAGACAAAAACTTTCTTGATCCTATTATCAGCTCTTCTCTGCCATTCTTCCTCTCATCATCTCATTTTCTCTGCCTACCACAAAACAGAGAATACTATATTCCCAATCCAGTTTTTGCTTTTATATATTTTAATCAAATCAGTTAATTTTATTCGCAATGAAAGCAAGGCAACTCACTGATTTTTTTGCTTAAAGTTTATTTTATCAGTAAATTTTACACTCAGCAATACTATCTACAATTTTTATTCCTTCTACAGTTATTTTGCTTGTTTTGTTTGAATAGTCTAATACTGCTACCAGACTTTTTTTTCAATCTTTACATTTTAAAAAATATCTATTATTTCTTTATTTATTTGAAAAGCAGAGAGAGGGAAAGAGAGAGATCTTTCTTGTGCTGGTTCAATCCCCAAATGACCACAAAGACTGGGACTATGCTGGGAACTCCATCCAGGTCTCCCACGTGTGTTGCAGGGCCGTCTTCTGCCACTTTCCTGGACACATTCGCAGGGAGCTAGATTTAACACGGAGCAGCTAGAACTTGAACCAGCACTCATATGGGATGTTGACCTCGCAGGCAGTAGCTTAACATACGGTGCCACAATACTGGCTCCAAAATCTTTACATATCAATATAAATGATCAATTAAATAACAGAAGTCTGATAGGAAAATGAAATTTCTTTCTTATTCTACCATGAAGAAAGCCAGATTCTTTGACAGATTATTTTTCCAGTGTTACCCCACAACTGAAACTTAAGTTCTCAAAATAGTTTTAATCTGTCTCTGTTTAAATACCTCCAGTCAAGGCAGCCCACTCTTTATTCAAACAGACCAGTGCATTTGACAATAGCCATCTATCAATGAGGCCCATTCTGATTTTTAACAGTCATTTCCAATCAGTGATAGAAAGGAAGAGAGTGAACAAGGTGGAATGAGTGTCCCAATGTTCTTGTTCTGGGGCTGAGCTTATCAGCCTGGGGCACTCCTTCTCCTAGGGATAAGATGGTTCTGGATGAACTGGAAGGCACACACAGAAAAGCCCCCCAACAGTCACTGATTGCACTTGGGGATTTTGGAGAATTTTTTATACAAAAGTGGATGTGGGGGCTGGTGCTGTGACATACCAGGTAAAGCTGCTGCCTGCAGTGCCGGCATCCCACATAGGCACCAGTTCGAGTCCCAGCTGCTCCACTTCCAATCTAGCACTCTGTTGTGGCCTAGGAAAGCAGTAGAAGCTGGCCCAAGTCCCTAGGCCCCTACAACCGTGTGGGAAGACCCAGAGGAAGCTTCTGGTTCCTGGCTTCAGACCCGCGTAGCTCTAGCCATTGCGGCCAATTGGGGAGTAAACCAGTGGATGGAAGATCTCTCTCTCTCTCTCTCTGCCTCTCCTTCTCTCTCTGTGTAACTCTTTCAAATAAATAAATAAATATTTTTTTAAAAAGTGAATGTGGATGTAAAAGTGTCATCAAAAAGTTCAGAGAAATGTGTATTATGAAAAAAACTATATTTGGATTGCAAAAATTTTGCACCAAAATAAATTTATTTTTTAAATATATTTTTCATAATCTTTTGGCCGTACCTGTATATTGTGAAGCACAATATAAAACTTATGTGATCTATGAACACAAAATAGGAGACCCCAAAGAAATCACTATAGGAGAATGAGAACTGTACCTCTTAGACCTTTCTATATCTCCACTCATTCCATCTAATACTCATTAACAGCTTTAACAGATAATTTGAAAAACCTATTCTGAAACATTACTACTGCTCCAATTATTTTCAGCACACCTTGGTTCTAGCCATACCCTTATTCTTCCACTTAATATTCATTTTAAGTACATTATATAATGAATTAAATTTTAAAATAGTTTCTAGCATCTCTAGGGACAGTTGGAATAAATTGAAAAGAGGCATTTTCAGTGTGAAGCCTTAACCATAATTGCTTCCAAAATGTACATTTCAAATGATGACAGAATGAAAATGCTTGAGAAGAATTCTTTGCCTCTTTCAAAAGCTGCTAGAAGTTGTTGAATTGGGAATAAGTGAAACAGAAGAAAAGCAAACATGTTTTTAAAAGGAATAAGAGAATGTGGAACAGAGACATGGAAATAGAAAAGCTGGGAAAAAAGATGTTGGAAAACTAATCTTTGTGTTATGCAGTCTGTAAAAACTTTGGGTGAGGGGAAAATGCCTATCTAGAGATAAATGGCATAAAGTGAAATCAAAAAATGAAATTAGAAGATGGAATAAAGGAGAAAGGAGACAGAAAATAATGATGTTACATTTTTTAAAGAAATGGGAAATATTTAAGAATCCTGCAGGCTTGAAGAGTACAAAGTTATGTTCTTGTTGGTGTGTATTTTATGAAGCAGCTATGAGTCCTGTGGGATGCTTTAAAAGGGACTATGCAATAACCATATTCCTTGAAAAGAAATCATCAGCCAAATGTCCTCATTAGAAAAGTACATTAGAATAGTTACAATGTTGTATTATGTTTATACAAAGTGAATATTTTCCTGAAAAAAAAAGCTATTGAACACATTTTCTCTATCAAAGAGCAATGTACCTATGTTCATTTTTGTAAAGAGGAATTCTCAAATCACCAAACAAAATTAATATTTCTACCAGATGCAAGAGAATGGAAAAATCAATTGAGGACAACGTTCCTGTTAAAACCAACTGGGTTCATTAATAAAGAGAAGCATAAATCATTCAACTCACTTAACATTCAACTCACCTTCAAAATTGTGAATAGATATTATGAAACTTCATTCAATAAATTCTGATTGTAGAATTCTTTTTTAAAAAGGCTCTGCACTAAGTCAATTTCAGAACAGAATAATGAGGGGGGGCGAATGCAAAGAGAAGATGTAAGGAGAAAAATTTTAAAAGTTGAAATAGGAGTAAGGAAAGGGGAAAGAGAACAGAACAGGAATAGAAATAAGAAGTAAGAGCACACATAAGGGAGAAAAATATAAAACTCAGGAAAAAATGGCATATTAAGATATTCAGTCAAGGTTTTTGAAAAATAAAAGGAAGAAGAAAAATTGGTTGAATTACATTTTTGAGTATCTTAAGCTGCTGCCTGCAGTACCAGCTTCCTATATGGCTGTTCCACCTCAGATCCAGCTCCCTGCTAAATGTGCCTGGGAAAGCAGCAGAAGATGGCTTGGCTCCTACACTCATATGGGAGATCCAGATGAAACTCCTGGGTCCTGGCTGTTGGGACCATTTAAGGAATGAACCAGTGGATGGAAGATATCTATCTATCTATCTATCTATCTATCTATCTATCATTCTGCCTTTCAAATAAAGTAAACCTTCTTAAGCAAAAAATAAATGTTTTTGAAAGTCAGAGTGGCAGAGAAAGAGGCAGAGACAGGAGAGGGAAGGAGGGTGGGAGGAAGGGACAGGGGAAGAGAGAGTGAGAGAGAGAGAGAGAGAGAGAGAGATTCCATTTGCTGGTTCACTCCTCAGATGCTCACAGCAGCAAAACCTGGACCAGGCCAAAATCAGGAGCCAGGAACTCATTCTTGGTTCTTCATAATGATGGCAGAGACTCTAGTACTTGAACCATCATCTGCTGCCTCCCAGGCACATTAGCAGGAAGCTGGAAAGTATGCAGAGCATCCAAGATTAGAATCAGGCACTTTGATATGGGATATAGGTGTCCCAGCTATTTAACCTGCTGTGTCACAGTGGCCATTCCACAAGCTTTTTTTTTATTACAAAAGGGCCTAACTGAAGACCGAACAGAAATGGAATAGTTTCTTCATTTCTTGTTCACGTGGGTTGTATATTTAAGAATTAATTTAATCATTACCTCTCATGATACTTATTAATTATGTGAACAATTTTTCAAAGCCTTTCATCGTTATTCAAAGGCTCAGTTCAGAATTGAGAGAATCAGGATACATGACACAGGGATTTCAGTATCAAAGAGTTGTGCTTTAGAGTATGGTAAAAAGGCAAGCTACAGGCTAAGAAAATTCACACAATGCATCTAACATATACTCTTATATTCATAACTCTTGCAACTCAATAAAACAGCAACTCAGATAAAACTTGCCAAAATACTTGAACAAACACTTCACAAAAGAAATATAACACTCATCATAAGCACATGAAGACTTCACAATATCATTAGTCAACAAAGGAATACAAATTAAAACCAAAGTGAGGTATCAATTACATATATATCCAAAAAACAGCAAAAACTGAAAACACTGACAATGTCAACTACTATGGAAAACAGTTTGGTAGTTTCATGTAATACTAAACATATACTTACCATAAGACTCATCAACTCCATTCCTAGGTGATTACCCAATAGGAATGAAAACCTGTAACCACACAAACACTTAAACAATGATGATAGAAGTAGCTTTGTTCATCATAGCCACAAACAGAAAACAACCCAAAGTCTATCAACATGTATATGGCTATGCATTCTGTGGTATATATACATGCAACAACACAGATAGATATCACAGTATGCTTAGCAAAAGAATCTGAATACAATAGAAAGCACACTGTATGATACAATTTTTATGAAGTTCTAGAAAAGGCTAAACTAAGCTATAGTTGACAGAAAACAGATTAGTGCCTGAGGCTTTGGTGTTTCGAAAGGTAGATTAAGTATATTAAGATTTTCCTAATTTTCATCAGTATTTGAATTATTGCATTTAGCAAATATGAATAATTAAAGAATGAGTAAACAGATATAAAACATTGTGATTTATTTTTTAAGATTTATTTATTTATTCGAAAGTCAGAGAGCCGGCGCCGTGGCTCAATAGGCTAATCCTCCACCTTGCGGCGCCGGCACACCGGGTTCTAGTCCCGGTCGGGGCGCCGGATTCTGTCCCGGTTGCCCCTCTTCCAGGCCAGCCCTCTGCTGTGGCCAGGGAGTGCAGTGGAGGATGGCCCAGGTGCTTGGGCCCTGCACCCCATGGGAGACCAGGAAAAGCACCTGGCTCCTGGCTCCTGCCATCGGATCAGCGCGGTGCGCCGGCCGCAGCGCGCCGGCCGCAGCAGCCATTGGAGGGTGAACCAAGGGCAAAGGAAGACCTTTCTCTCTGTCTCTCTCTCTCACTGTCCACTCTGCCTGTCAAAAAAAAAAAAATGCCATCAGATGTCAGAGCTACAGAGAGAGAGAGAAAGGCATGCACACACACACACACACACAAAGAGAGAGACAGAGAGACAGAGAGACAGAGAGACAGATCTATTCATTTCAGTTCTGAAATGGCCACAATAGTCAGGGCTGGGCCAGGCCGAAGCCAAGAGCCAGGAACTCCATTTGGGTCTCCCATGTGTGTGGCATGGATTAAATACTTGGGCCATCATTCATTGCTTTCTTGATATGTTAGTGGGAAACTGAATTGGAAGTGAAATAGCATCTCAAAAAATTCCAAGTTGATGATAGAGGGAAAGAATATCAATCAGAGAGTAAGTTGTCACAGAAAATGAAACTAAAACCACCTCCTAGGTCATTTTCAAGACAAGCAGGGAAAGAAGAGAACACACACATAACAGGGAGGGCTTGAGCACACAGCTGCAAGGAATTCTGAAACTGGACTAAGAATGTCTGCAGAAAGAATGGAGAGCACAGTGAGATGTGGCCATCTAATATGATGGATCTGGGACAAACTCCCAACGCAAAGAACAGACAGACTGAGTCACATCCAAGGAACTGCCAGAGGAGAACAGACAGTGCTTTCAAATTGTATACCCCATGTCCTTGAGCTTATTTTTATTTAAAATTTATTTATTTATTTACTTATTTATTAGAAAGGAAAAGCAACAGAGAAGGAGGGAGGGTCAGGGAGATCTTTCATCCACTGGTTCATTACCCAAATGACTGCAAAAGCCCAATCTGAGCCAGGGCAAAGCCAGAAGCCAGGAACTCCATCCAGGTCTCTCACAGGAAAGGGCCCAACCACTTGGGTCATCTTCTGTTGACTTCCTGGGTGCATCAGCAGAAAGCTGGGTCAGAAGCAGAGAAGTCAGGACCCTTAACATCACTGTGATATGGAACGACAGCATTGCAAACAAACAGCAACTTAACACACTGCACCATAATACCTACCTCAAAGCCCTTGAGTTTAGACTCAGCCTCTGGGGAAAAGCACAAAGTAGAAAAAATCCCATATTACTTATTTGAAACCCTGGATTTGTCTAGAAGTTTTGACTGAGTTTGTCTACAAGTTTCTAGATTAAGTTTCTGCTACCCAATCTTATCCAATGATAAGATTAACATTATGAGCTATAGAAAAATAATAAAAAATTAAAATTTTTAATTCCTCTACCAATTGCCCTAAGATTTTTGAGAGCTTGCTTAGTGTGATAACATAGCAGTTATGGCTGCCTGAAATGCTGTTCCTACCACCCCACACACAACTGCCTCTCCCTCATCTAAGTCAAAGTTAGAATATGGTTTCTCACAGAGGATTTTCCTGTTCTCTACCTTGGTGTTGTTGTAATGAAATACCTAAAACAGGCTTATTTAGCTTGCAGTTCTGAAGGCTGAAAGTTCATGATCAGTTGGCCTCATTGGTTTAGCCTCCTATGATAGTCTAATAGCATATGGTGTGGTCCTGGGAACAGAGATGAGAGAGAGAGACCACTTTTCCCTACAGGAAGCCAGAGGAAGATTAGGTCCCAAAATAAGGAACACCACAGTGACATAAAGGCCTCCTGCTAGGCCTCACCAATAAAAGTCCACACCAATTCCTATCACCACCACTTGGAGACCAAGTTTCCAACACACAGACCCTTGGAGAACAAACCCAAACCATATACAAGCAGTAACACCTTCCCTAATTCCCCTCCCCATCCCTCCACACCATTCATTGTCTATCAGGGTCATAGATATATTTCTTTTATGTTAATTTCAATTTGCATTTGCAGAGTTATTTTTTTATTTCCTATTTTTTAAAGATTTATTTTATTTATTTGAAAGGCAAAGTTAGAGAGAGGGAGAGACAGAGAGAGAGAGGGAGAGAGAGGAGAGAGAGAGAGAGAGAGATTTCTTCCATCCATTGGCTCACACCCCAAATAGCCTCAATAGCTGGAGCTGGGCCAGGCAGAAGCTAAGAGCCAGCAGCTTCATCTGGGTCTACCCTATGTGGGCTTAGGGGCCATCCTCTGCTGCTTTCCCATGAACCCCAGCAGGGAGATGGATCAGAAATGGAACAGCTGGGACTCAAACCAGCACCCACGCAGGATGCTGGCATCACAGGCAGAAGCTTAACTCACCATGCCACAACCCTGACCCCTTGATTTTCTATTTAATGCCTGTCTTATAATATAACATTTTTATCTTCATAAGGGCAGAAACCATGCCTGACTGAGTATCACAATATTCAGTGCCCATGACAGGCTAAATGATATAGCAAGCATTCAACAACACATGCTGAATGACTGACTATGACAAGCTCTATGGTAAATTCTTTGCCTAAATTTGTGCTATTTAATTTTCACAATTATATGATGTAGATATTGTTATTATTCTCATGCTACAGACAAGGAAATTGAGGCATAGAGCGATTAAGTAGCTTTGTAAAGATCATTTGGCTATAAGAGGTAGAGGCAGGATGTAAAACCAAGTCAGAAAGTAGAGGAGGAGAAAAAAGTATGACTTGGGGCAAAGCATACTCTTTATTATCTTGCATAACATTTTCTCCCCTACAAATGCAGAATGTGATGGCCGGACTTGATTTGGTACTAGGAGAAAACTGACCAACAAATTCACCCTCAGTGGATACCAAGATGTGAAACAAAAATAGCTTCTATTTCATTTCTGGAGAGAAAATACATGGGAGAATTTTTTGACCCAGGGATGTAGAGGAGCTTATTGATGATAGAGTGGAGGTTTTGGATATCACTTGGTTCCACCTGCCAAGAAATCCCGTGGAATGAGGATAATATTAGGCTAATTTTGCTTTGGGAGTATGTCAGCATAGCCTAAAAATGCAAGCCATTTAATATTCATTTGTTTTTATCACCATAATGCAACAGCCACACTTGTCCCAGTCACAAACCTAACACCTTCCAACTCCTGAGCCTCGTGCATGAGGTGACAAGAGGGATGAGGTAAGGGAATTGTAGACTCATATTTTTCAAAACTGAGTTCATCATCTTTCCTCCATTTTTCATATTCTCCTGTATACGCACTTTTAGTGGCAGCAACTTTTATTTAAGCTAAAAGGTCTACAAAATGCCCTTAACTTTGCTGACTTTACTTTCAAAATACTTCTTACATTTATCAGCTGTCTCAATTGCTCTCATTCCCACTTTAGTCAAATCCTCATAATCTCTTGCCTGGACTGTTTCATTAGCATCAAAACTGGTCTCATGTTTTCATTTTCTTCTGCTTATTCTTTATATATGTTTATTTCTCAACTACCAAGTTTTAGGTACTTTATATAGGACCATCACAGAAAGTCAAATTGACAAAAAGAAATCTGAGAGAAGACCTCATGAAAATAAAGTTCTGGAGTTCAAAGAAGAAATGAACTTGGGAATCATCAATAGAAAAGCCATGAAACAGAAGGAGAGCAAATGAGATGAGAGTAGGATAAATGAGTTCTATGTGCTGAGCCCTGAAACATTCAATATAGAAATTCAGCAAGATGAGTAGTAACCATCAAAGAAGATGAAGAAACAGCCAATGAAGTCCTTAAACACTGCTGGCCTCCCTCTCTGTGCCTCTTCCTGATTTCTCCCCAAGGATGAGCAATGTGTTTGATGGGTATATGTAAAAAAGAACCTGATAATTGGTGACTTCACTCCTTCTCTCTTTGCCTTTAGGGAGCTGGCTGCCTGCAGAAAGCCTGTGTCTCACTTTTCTTTCCTGTGGAACAACTTCCCAGGAACAAGTGGAGAAGCCTGCAATATTCTCTGATGCCTATGACTGGTGGGTAAGTCTGCCTCCTGGAATTATTAGAAACCCTAAGTCACATTCACCATCATCAGAGTTACCATAAGAAACATGCCATTTTAATCCATGTATCCCTGACTCTGCCTTAGCTCCTAATTTCACTAAGTCCTATTAGCAACTATTCCCAGACTATTCTGGGTCTCTGCCTCACAAATTTTTAAAGTTTTTTTTTTTTTTTTAATAAAAAGAAGTCTTTAAAGAGTACCCTCGGCCGGCGCCGCGGCTCACTAGGCTAATCCTCCGCCTTGCGGCACCGGCACACCGGGTTCTAGTCCCGGTCGGGGCACCAGATTCTGTCCCAGTTGCCCCTCTTCCAGGCCAGCTCTCTGCTGTGGCCAGGGAGTGCAGTGGAGGATGGCCCAAGTCCTTGGGCCCTGCACCCATGGGAGACCAGGATAAGTACCTGGCTCCTGCCATTGGATCAGCGCGGTGCGTCGGCCGCAGCTCACCAGCCGCGGCGGCCATTGGAGGGTGAACCAACGGCAAAGGAAGACCTTTCTCTCTGTCTCTCTCTCTCACTGTCTACTCTGCCTGTCAAAAAATAAATAAATAAATAAAAAGAGTACCCTCTTTGAGGCACACATTTGGTACAGTGGTTAAGATGTTACGTGGGACAGCTGCATCCCAAATTGACATGCCTAAATTCAAATCTGGTTCCCCTCCCAACCCTAGCTTCCCAAGGTACACCCTGGGAGGCAACAAGGTGGGGGCTCAAGTACTTGACTCCCTGCCACCCACATGGAGATCCTGTTGGAGTTTCTTTCTCCTAGCTTCAACTTGGCCCAGTCCTGATTATTGCAGGCATTTAGAGAGTGAATCAGAGAATGGAAGGTCCTTTCTCTCCCTCTCCCCCTCCCCCTCCTGGAGCTGAACAGTCAAAAGGCAGAGGAAGGGGAGTTTTTCCTATCTATCTATCTATCTATCTATCATCTTTTTTAAATTTATTTATCTGAAAGGCAGACTTACAGAGAGGCAGGAGAAAGAGAAAGAAAGAGAGAGAGATCTTCCATTTGTTGATTCACTCCTGAAATGGCCACAATGGCCAGAGCTGGGCTGATCTGAAGCCAGGAGCCAGGATCTTCTTCCAGGTCTCCCACGTGGGTGCAGTGGCCCAAGCATTTGGGCCATCCTCCACTGTTTTCCCAGGCCACAGCAGAGAGCTGGATCAGAAGTGGAGCAGCTGGACTAGAACCGGTGCCTACATGGGATCCCATCACTGCAGGCAATGGCTTCATGCGCTACACAAAAGCACCAGTCCCTATTTATGTCTGTCTGTCTATCTATCTTTTTTCTACCTCTCCCTCTCCGTCTCTCTCCCTCTGAAACTTGGACAGTCTTCTGCTACCCTTGCACATTAGAATGTCAGGATTTCCAGCCTTTGTACTTCAGAATTTACACCAGTGGCCCCCAACTTCCCAGGCCTCCTGCGGAGGACAGAGAATTACACAATTGTCATCCCTGGTTCTGAGGTCTTCTCACTTGGGCTTTCCAGGATCTTCAGCTTGCAGACAGCTTGTCATGGAACATTGCACCCTCCACAGCTGCATGAGCCAATTCCCCCAACAAATTCTTTCATGTGTGCATGTGGGAATGTATGTATCTACTTATATCTATAGCAACTCATACATCTATATCTATCTATCGGTTCTGTGACTCTGGAGAACCTTGAGTAATGCAAGGCAGAAGCTCTAATAATGGTGGATTAGGCCAAAGTATTAGCAATTAAAGTGGTGAAAACTGGTTATATACACATATACGTGTATGTGTGTGTGTGTGTGTGCGCACATAGAGGGAAGACAGAACCAAAGAATTTGTTTATGGATTATACACGGGATTTTTTAGTCAGGGCAACTGGAAAGATAGAAAGACTTCATAAATGAGGATCAGAAACTGATAAATTTGAGCCACATGTTAGACATTCAAGAGGAACTCTCGACACTCAGGACAAGGACTGATCAAGTCATTGTTTCTCATAGTGTCAATTTCACTTCTACAGCTTCCTTTTAGGTGCTCAGTTGTCACAGATCAGGGAGAACATATGATA